AAACACCCCCCCCCCCCCCCCCCATCTCTAATGTCCCCTACTCAACAACTGTGATCTTCCATTTCCTGCAACACCCTGCCTGGGAAAAGTGGCAGGAGTCCAAAATTATGTATTGAAATGATTTAAATTCTTCCTGTAGAAACACAACTGAAACAGTCCTTTTTAGCCTATGGTCTATAGGCTGCTTCTAAGGAGAGAATGAAAGAAACCAAGCCTACTGTCATGCTTAAATTTACAATAAAAAGGCCTTGCACTTGCACTGCAATTGTTGAAGAGCTATCGTAGGATTCATGTTTTAGATTCAGCACTAACAACTGGAGTTGAGCTAACTACTGGGCAGGACACACTGATGTGAAGTCAACCCATGGTCGAGGCAGAGCCCTGCTTTCTCCACAGCTCTTTGCTAGCACACAAACCTGCTGCAATGAAATATGCTGGCAGAAGCCAAGCTCGGGTGAAACAGAGGAGAGGGCTCTGCAGCCCTCAGTCTGTCCTGACCCCTTTGACTGAAGGCACATACCTGTAACCGGCCCACCCGTCCCTCACCCCCTGCTCCTGTGACTGCTCGCACTGGGATGATCTACTCAGTCACACCAAGAGTTTGCCTCAGGCCAGAACTGGCCATCAAGTCGGACCTGCTGGGCAGCACCGACTGCACGACCGCGCCTGTAAACTAGAAATCACCTCAGCAAAGGGTATCTAATCCTTAGTTTACAATTGCTCATGCCACCAGCTGGCATTAGTATTGTAAGTGTAAATTGTCCCACCAAGTATCCGGGATCAAGCAAAGTCCCAGTTTAGAAGAACGTTATGCACCTCTTTGAGGGTTTCTGCATCGCTTCTGGTAAATCTGATGATAAAACAATCTCCTTTATACTGTGTGGCACGAGACATCTGAACACAATGCACAGCTGAAGTTTGGGGACCGCAACGTTTGTAAAGCTGGGAGTGACTGGAAAAGCACACTGCTGCCTGCGGTGACCGATGGGCCGGCAAGGAGGAGAAGCAGGGCAGCCTGAGGGCTGAAACCCCTCTGCCAGGGGCTGCCCGAGGGGAACAACCTCTCCCGACCTGCACCCCGACGTGATACTGCTTCTGCCTCGTGGAGGAGCAGAAAACAGGCAACAAAAATCAGCGACTTGGTGAGCAAACGTGTCTGGGTGGGGAAATGAAAGTTTTAAAAGCCTCCACGCTTCTGAGCGAGCTACAGCCGGGACACCATTACCCCCTTCCCTCCCACCCCGCCGACCGGGGCCACCAAACTCCGCTCTGTGTGTGGGAGCGGCTCCGAGGAGGCAGACCCAGGGGCAGGCACGGCTCCTCTGCCCCCAGCCCCACCTGCCCCCGGGTCCCCCGGCGCCGGAGCCCGGCGGGGGCGGCAGGTGGAGCGTTGGGTACTCACAGCGGGTGCCAGCGCTCGGGCAGGCGGCGGTGCAGGGAGATGCGGTCGCTCAGGTAGATGTTGATCTGGTGCCGGCGGATGCTCTCCTCCTGCAGCCGCTTCTCGGCCGGGCTCAGCTCCAGCCGCACCGCCCGGCCCAGCTCGCCCAGCGACCCCGGCTCCGGGGCCGGCTTGGCGTACACCGGCCTCCGCAGCAGCTCGGTGTCGGCGGGCGGCGGGGCGCGG